TATATGTAAGCAATTGGTAACCGTAGGGTCGTACTAAAACTTCATTAACTTTGCTCTTTTTAGCACCATTAAGGCTAAAAAAAAGTAGGGGGGATACAATTTTACAAGGATTAAGAAGACCAATGATGGGATGCTGTTAAGCACGGAGGTAAGGGAGTAATCAACACCTACACTGGTAAATTTCCGGTTTACACTGGAACCTTGTTAAGAATTTTGCTTCTCATCTCAGAGTCCAAACCAAACATTCATTCCACCTTAATTCTGTTTAATGTCTATACAATTCTGTTTCTCTTTTTTCACTCCAAAACAAAAATATACCTCCAACCTGGTCCGTTTTAAGGTTTTTGCGGTAGGGAGGTGGGGGTGGGGAGGGATCGTTTTTGAAAGATATTTAAAAAGAAGATAGCAGATCGAATATTAAAACATGGAAAAGTTGCATATACATTTTACTTACAAATTCTAGCGGGGTTTTAAATCGTCGACTGTCAATGTCAGGAGAGCCCTTCGAGTGTTCTCTCCGCTCCACAACGCCGGGCTGCACCCCTCGGACGCGGCCCAAGCGAACGTCGACCCCGTCCCTGCCCACGTGACGGCGACCTCCGCGGGGAGGGCGGGCGCCCGCGGAATGCTGGGACTGGTAGGCGCCGGCCCCTCCCCTTCCCGCCGGCACCCCCACCCCCCACCCCTCAGGCCCAGCGCCCGCCCGCTCCGGGCTGGCGAGAGGCTGGAGGCGTGGTGAGTGCGCGCGACTGAACGGCAGGCCTCCTCGGGTTCTCGCGCTACATTCTGACCCGGAGGCAGGCATCTCTGCAAGACAGTGGATGCCCCTAACCCTCAAAAAGACCTAAAATTCATAGACGCGAAGAATCCATGGAACCAACAGTGAGAGGCACTACCCAAGAGATAAGGGAAAGCACCTGTCAGGCTTGGCTTGGAAGCCGGCCTCTACCATTACTAGGTGCGTGTCCTCAAACGAGTTGCTTAATCTAAACCTCAGTCTGCTCGTGTCAAATGCGGACAACGCTACATACCTCATAATGTGGTTGTGAGTGTCCGCTAAATGACAGTAGTAAATGATGAATAAAAAGTAGCTATTGATGTGTTAATTTTATAAATGTGAAAATTGAGAGGTGGCAAGCAATTTACCTAAGAACACAATTGGTTTAGGGCAAAGTTGAGTGAGTCTGAAGTTCCTGTTCCTGACCTCCACCAATTCAAGACAACAGGGAAGAAATCTGCTCACGTAAATCTCACTTCCCTTTTCCTAATTTTTTTCCGTAACACTTCTGACCAACACACTGTTTTACTTATTTTGATTTTTTTATCTGACTCCCATAGAATAAGAACTCCAAGAAGGCAGGGAAGGTTGTCTTTTGGTCTATTCTTTTACTGCTGTATTCCCAGACCTAGAACAGGGTTTACCTAGTACACAGCACAAGCTCAACTACTTACTGGATTAGTGATTCTTCATGTAACTGATTTTTTTGGTATTCGCCACTCAACCATCCTCTTTTGGCAGAAGGCACAGGATTTGGGAACATTCTTAGACGCTGTTTGACCACATTTCTCATTCAACAAAGAGTAAGTGGACAAGTATTACATTCTAGTCACTTCACTGAGTTTCAGTTTTCTGAATTTCAATATAACATTTCCAGCTAGACATTTTCATTTGTATTAACAGTCTTTTAAAATATGTTTCCTATCACTTGTGAGAACAGGGAATAACTGGAGCTAGCTACTATATCTTTAATTTACTTCCTTTTATTTAATACTTTAATCTTTTCCTTATTAAAAATAACAATGTTTCCTCTTTCCACTAAGATATAACCCCAAAGTTATTTCCCTATCTGACCAGAAATGTGAATATCACACACAATGAACTGATAAACGCTTTCTCAAGTAAATAACTGGATTTCTACTTATCCTGAAAAAAAAATCATGTACAAAAATTATCTTATTTTAAAATAAAATGTTTCATTTAAACTAGTTGTTTTATTTAGAAAGTGTACTGTACTTAAATGCCAGTCATTTAACCTGAATTATAATTTTTTTGTGTATCACTCTTCCCTAGTACATGGCAAATTCCCTCAGAGTAAAGACTACTCTAACTTAATTCATATATTTATTGAGCATCTATTCTGTGTCAACAAAGATGTTTAATAAATACGTGAATTAATGAGTATATTCTTTGTTCTAATCATCTCTTCTCTTATTCTCTTTTGAGTCACTGAATTCCTCCACATATTTCAAACTCCCAAAGTAACTAAATATCCAGAGGTCATGCCTCCTCTTGGTATTGGTTGGCCAGCAATTCCTTTATATTATTAGCTATGAGTCTACTGTCTCTATAACGTCACCTCTTTTGGGCAACCCTTGTAGTTTGGCAAACATCTACAGAATATCTGGTTTGACAAGAGTTTAGCTTTACCTTACAGTTAGTGATGAAAGTTGGTTATTTGTAAGGTTGCTAGGTGTGGGAGGCACATGTGGCAGAGCTAGGATTATGTATCTTCATTACCAGTACAAAAGAGAATTCTGTCTTACGGAAAATCCTAAGCAAATATACCTGTTAATGTTAAATTATGGTTACCATGCCTCTGATTTTACTTCAAGATTCTCATGATTTGTTTCTTTGAAAAGCCATTCCTGTCTTCACAAGCATTTTTAATTACAAAATAACACACGTACTGATTATTCAATAATATGTAAAACCTCTTGTCCTCTCTTTTTCAGTATATCCCCCAAACCTAAGTTTTACAAATCTGTATCCAAGTTTCTATACAGGCACCTGTCCTGGTAAATGTTTTAAAGAGCCTTTTAATATATGCATTAATGCTCATAATATGAACTTTGTTTATTAATACTATAAAGTTTTATATCCTTTAATAACTTCTTCTATTACAGAACTTTTACTATCATACTTTATTAATGAGTAATGAGAATAGGCACCTTATAAAGCATTAGTTAAAACATAAATAAATAAAACCCAAGTATTAACCAAGTATCAAAACTTCTCAGCATTTTGTCAGAAAACAGTAGTCTCACAGATTTTCCAAATATACTAACATAGGCTGACAAGGGAGAACATGCTTTTAGTTTCTCCTTAAGAAAAAGATAAATAAAAGTAGCATCTCCCTTGTTACTGTTCCTCCAGTTTCTTTGGCTGTATGGTGTACAGTAAACAAAGCTAAACTAAACCAAGCTCCTAACGGGCGAAAATCCAGGTGACTCTCTAAAGCCTGTAATTCCTCGTCTCTGGTGAAATTTATGAACTTTTAATGAAAACCTAAGACACCTTAAGATTTCATTAAATTGAAATTTGTGCCCAATTTGCACAAATTAGTTGTTCAGAAACATTCCAAGGTGATTCTGAATACTTGAAAGAACAATTAAATACCTTTAAAATTTTCAAAATCATTCGTTGTAATTGGCTATTTTAAAATCTATTCACTAAAATCATAGAAAGTCGTCCAAGAACACAAGTGTATATTTGAAGACAATGTTTTTCCATAATTTTCATTTTACACTAACTTAACCTCCCCTCTGTGTGTCTAAATTGAGTTAGATTATTTGCAGATTATCCACATCTGTAAATATGTTACGAAAGTGGAACAGCTTTTATCATCTTTTTATTCAGAAAACAAAACGCAAGAAACCCTAACTCAAAGCAGTATATCAAGTCATGCCCAAAATTAAGGTAAAAATCATGGAACACAAGTGAACATTACAGAGCTATCTTTAATCAGTGTGTGTGCGTTTCTCACTGTCCGTAATACAGCACTAAGGTGTCTGAACAGTGTTGCTGGAAAAGAGCTCTTACACGAAACCACGAACGAGACTGCATGCGCACATTTTGCAAACAGAAACCCACTCGAGTAAGCCTGTAGATCCGATTTTGTACACTCTCAACAAGTGATTAAAACCTAAAATTGGTTAACTGCCTTCATAAGGAGCCTGAAACTAAAAATTTTCTCCAGAAGAGGACACCTCTAGTATCTTTCTTATCACTCCTGCTACGGACACTTCGAAAGGGTCGGCTACGGCAGCCGTCGACCCAAAAGGCTGCGGGGAAACTGCGCAACAGCTTGGGAACGAGGACGGAAAGTTCTCCTCCACCCCGTCTCACTCCGCCTTTTCCAGGGACTCGGTACTAGGGGGCCGGGCGTCTCCTGCGTGCGGGTAACAGTTGCCAGGAACAGCTAGGTTGAGGACCGGCAATTTGCCCAGCCAGTTGTCCCTTCTCCGTCGTCCCCTCCCTCCCTCCGCGAGGGCCGAGGACAGCGACGTCCTCCTCCCTCTTCTCCTCCTCTTTGGTGCCTTCAGCCAGGAGGCGGGAGTGACCCGCAGCAGCTGACCCAACACGAGCACTGCCTGTCCCACAGCCCTCAGAACACATCATGGGCCCAGAGGCTGGTTTGCAGCACAGCAGCGACGACGCAGGCGGCAGCCCCGGCGACTCTCAGCTGCCTCCCTGACTGCCGACATCACCGCCCAGCACCCCGAAAAGCCATCGTCACCAACGGCAGGAGAATCTAGGGGCCTCCCAAAACACCTTCGCGATCAACTCAAGATACGTCAACAACTATGGCGGGCGAGGAGCAGCGGGCGGAGCCGGTGAGGGAAGGATGGGGGCTGTGCGTCACACCCAGGGCTCCGCTGCGGGAGGGAAGGCCCCGGCTCGCCCTTCAAAATGGCGGCGGCAGTGACGCGCCTGCGTACGGAACTCCTACGCCGTCGCGCCACGGCCGGCGGGAAGTGAGGTTCTCAGAAGAGCCGCCCGAAGTGTACGGCGACTTCGAGCCCCGGGCGGCCAAGCAAAAGGCCCCGGGGGGAAGACAAATTCCGCTAGAAGAGTTCCGGCCCGATTCAGCAAAAGAGGAAGTGAGAGAAAGCGCCTACTACCTTCGGTCTCGGCAGCGGAGGCAACCGCGACTCCAGGAAGCAGAGGAGATGAAGACGCGAAGGGCTACTCGCCTCCAGCAGCAGCAACAGCAGAACTCACAGTCGTCTCCCCTACAGTCGTCTCCGGTTACGACCCGGAGAGGATTACGAGACTCCTCCCGTTCATCTGAAGGTGAGGCCGACGGAGGTAACAGTCTCAGCCGCGAGCCGGGAAGGGAGTGCCGCGGGAAGGGAAGCGCGCGCGCGCGCGGACGGTGTGCGCGCTTCGAGCGAGCAGGCGGGCGGGCGGGCAGGCGTGAGCCTTCCCGGAGCTCACCCCTACGGGGCTCCTCCGCCGGGATGGACGTGCGCCTGCACGCCGGATTCGCCCCCACTGCAGGCGGGAAAGAGGCAGGGGCGGGGCACTGCAAGGAAAGAGAGTCATGCGGAGCGACCTGAGCAGAGCCGGGGAGCCCCGTGCATCCCTTTACATCAATTTAGGGGTGTCAGGATTGCCTCTTTCTGCAGGCCAGCACTTTGGGACAGCGAGTTAGGCGGCAGGCGAGTCACTGAATCACTGCAGGCTCGGTTTCATGCCGGTTCTCTCTGTCCTCCGAATGTTTCTACCAAAGCCACTTCCATTTCCTCCTTTAACTCTCAGAGAACAGAAGTTCCCAGCTGAGAATTTTGGTTCTAATTTAACC